GCAACACTTGCGCTCCAGTCACATTGCTGTACCCCTCCCCCACGCGCTAACATGGCGCCCAGGAGTCCGCATTTTCAGCGTTTAATAAATCTACTTCCACCGACTACATAACACCACACACATTTAACTAAGTTGACGACGTTAAATTGATGTGCACTTAACCCTGAAATCAGGTGCATGTAAAGTGTGCGCTCCAAGCGTATGATGCGAGCTACTGCAAACTTATAGCCTAGTCAGAACACAGCACACAACACGCTAGTAGTAACGCTAGGCTACCCGAGGGCTCCATCATAACAGTCCAACGCCAGCATGTGCGAGCCAAACACGCTTTTAACCTGCGACTACGTGTAGCTTTCACAAAGATTGTTCTCCTACGAAGGTTTAATGCCACATATCGGTTGTATTAAAACATGGCATCTCGGCAAATAGCTTACAAGATGCACTAAGTAAGCAGGCTACGGTTGGCTAACATCCTCCATACACTTCAGAGCATTGCTTTATCCTAGCCAACTTAGCCGCTGTCGTACACCTTACTCATACAGGCTATCAACAGTTAAATATGAGTGCATGTTCCCGGCTGTTTGTAAACACTACCATTTCCACTTAAGTGCACATAACGTGGCCATTCAAGCCAACGCCAATAATGTAACTTTACGAGACCTTCTCGCCCGAATGTTAGCGTTAGCAGCTAGCTCTTAGCTAACTCAGCAGGTCGCGGGATAGCAAATGCGCGCGGCCTGCTGCACTCCCATGTGCTGCTGCTGCTTTGTTCTGGAGGCACTTTTAAGTGTACACCACGGATGCAAAAATCGGCTGAAAACCTAAAATCCTATCAACATGGGGCCGACAACAGGAGTACATGAGGCTATAACGTGCAGCAACTACTTAAGTGTGTAACGCAAAATTTTCACGACTGAGTATCACTTCCGAGGACTTGAGGTGCAGCAGCAACACATGCTTTTCAAAAATCCCTCATTCTCCAACTATGGAGGAGAGAGGTTGCCATGCGCCCCTTACAACATTGTTTTCAAATGCGGAAACTGACGATTAAAACGTTGTTCTCTCAGGTAAACGTCAAAGTGTGGCTCCAGTGTCGCGTACAGTATCGAGCATTTCACTTTCCTTACGTTTCCCGCATCTCCCGACAAGGCTAACAACAGGTTTCTTGCCAGTAACATGCGCATAATAACACACTAACGTTAGCTCCTAAAAATCCACCATCTTCACTCACTTGTACAGACTTACCGTTTACTCACACTGTTTCAGCCGTATCTGCAAAACTGAGAAAATAAAAAACACTCGTCAAATTGAGTTGCACCTACGAGGTATAATCCAAAAAAGGGCTACCATGTGCTACTATTATGATTTGCAAGGAGTTTGGGAATCGTAGTAAGATTGCGAAAGTGGCGCGAGTAGAGTCTTGGATCAACCATGTGGTGAATGAAGGGCGGCTCCCAGCCAGCGTAGCTAAACCCCAACTCCTTCATTAGCATAAATCAACTACTTCCTCTCCAGGCGCGACTCTCAGGTTTCACCACTTGATTTGAACTGTTGATAAACATGCAGAGGTAATGCAATATATACATTACGAACGTATTCCTCATTAGGAAAAATAATCAACAAACAAAAACCAAGACAATAAATAGGCTAATATAACAGATAACATCAATAGAAGTGTTTCAGAAGTCGACGCCCATAAAGTTTTATAACCTGATTTTGTTGATGTTTTCCTACGTAATGCTAAGATACAAATGTATTATGAGTATGGTTAAACGCTAGAAATAAATAAACTCTACTATTCTAACGAAAAATCATGTAGGCTACTCAAATCTATTTGTGATGTAGCTTACCAACATTATGGCACCTCTCTGGCACATAATTCTGTTTACTATGTAAAACATTAATCCTGCAAAATTCTCTTTAATTACATTTTGTTTGAGTGTAGCTTATTTATTTTATATTTCTTGTTTATTTGACAGGGATAAATGAATAAGACATTACTTCATAGAGTATACAAAATAGATGCCATGCATACAGTTTTTTCGCCACAACTAATTTGCAACCCCTGTCCCTAGTTTGGCTTTTAAAGTTAAAACATAAATTACAATGTTGAGTTTAAAGTATTACAACCATTTAAATGCATCAAGAACATGCAATAAGATACAGGCGTAACAGGAAGTGGAGATCAATATAAAACAGAGACCAGAAACATTTAACAATACAACAACACAACATAAGAGGTGTGTATAAATGTGGCCTATATGTGCTTGTGTGTCTGTGCATTCTCGCACATGCACGCCCAAAGTATGCAGGAATGTATGTATTGTAAAGCTGCACATCAAGCATTTTGTATTGTCATATTGTCTAAATGCAATTTGTCTAATTGATTTCCAACATTTTGAGTATTTTTGGTGAGATCATAAATAAAACAATTGTTGGCTTGATGTGGCTGAGTCAAAATGATTTACTGCGGTATAATCATAGCATTTAGTTAGACTTTTATAGAAAACAAAAAATACAATTGGTATTGTGGACAACATTAGGTTATAACTAACTAAACATACTAACACTAGCATAATAAATAATAGGCTACTAATAATAGGAACAAATAAAAATGTTACTTTACCCAAATTAAATTTTCTCGAACACTAACTTTCCTACAAAAGAAAAACAAATCGTGAACATATATCTCTTATCTGTAATTAATGTTTGTTGGTCCAGACAGCCAACTGAAATTATTAAATTTTAAGATAATACAAGTTACTATGACAATATTTCAATAAAGTTATTTGATTACTGATTAATTGCCATACATATACTCTGTTCATTACAGCAAATCAATTGCCTATATTGTATACAATATGAGATTAATAACACACACCAACAATTTGCCACATCCTCTTTAAACACATATTCCTTTATTAAAATGTGGTTTTGAATCATCATTATTGTAATCTGTATCAACATTTCACAATAAAAGTTATTCTACAGTATAATAATATCAAATAGAGTAACAAAGCCAATGGAAGGTGTTTGTGGCCAGCTTTTGTGTTACATTGAAACCACAAATTACTGTCTAACTCAAGGCCACATAATTTGTCTTATGGCCATCAAACAATATGCAGTTGTGTTAGCATCAGTATGAAACTTATTCCGGTTAGCATCTTGATACACATAGTAAGGAAATCTCATTGATGTTAGCAAAGACTTATTAAAATAAATAAAAATGAATGTAACTGCCACCAACATGGTTTAAAGTGTCTGTTGCTAAAGCTCCTCCCACTGAAAGGGAATAAGGAGTTCTCCTCCTTAAAGCAGAAATGTTGGGAATTGTCTAGTTCACCTTTCACCTCTAGATTCAGTCATGTGTAAAGTCAAAGTGAAGTGACTACAAAATTAAAAGAAACAGTAAATAGATATGGATATAAGATTTAACACATTATTTCAAAGAAGTGAACTTCCTAAATCAACTGTGATGCATTTTTGTGACATATGCTTTTGCTTCACTTTAGTTTGAGTACAGTGGTATACTGAAGAGGTGGCGATGATGTAATACTCAATATAATTAAACAAAAGGTATTTAATGTCCTCTTGTCTGACCTATCATCATCATTTAAAATTATAAAATGCAATGCAGGGTAAATTATATCAGATGAGAAATTATGAATTCAGAAACAATTATTTGGCAAGATTTTTAAGTAAAACATAGCTCAATTTAACATCAAAGTGAATATTTCCAAACGGTACAAACAGATACAGACTTATGTTTAAAACAGTGCAGGCCAACCTCGGCCATGGCTTCCCAATGCTGTTTGTAAATTTTATTGTATCAGCACACACACTAAAGAAAGTGTATTATGTTTTTGTTTTTTGTTGAGAGGATTAAAACAATTATGTGCTCATTAATGCTCACTGATAAATATATATTGCCAAAGTCACAAGTGTTCCTGCAAACTATGAGAGTAGTTCTGCACAATACCAGGACAGAAACTGAAGCAACTAAATGGAATCCAGCCATTATTAACTGTAATATTTACACCTAAGCTTGATCCAGTTAGAGCTGGTAGTGAATCTCAGGTGCAGGCCTATTGATTTAATTGTTAGGACATACTTTTACATTATAAGTACAATAAATGCATATGCCTTCTCTTAAGTATCTTAAGTAATAACTCAGCTTTACATTTTAAAGAAATTTTTGTACAAACAGTCATTTAAATATGCTTCACAGTTGGATGAACTTTAAGGAATTTCTTCAATTGAAATGTTCCAATATTATGTTTATTTTTCAGCTTCAGTTGATTGGCCTACCTAAGGAATAAAGAACAAAAAAAGTCAAAAATGTCTCCATTACAGAATGTGTATTACAATACTTAACCAATAATCATGCTGTTAATGAAGTAGCATGTAACAGTACTGGTTTGTTGTTATAATTATGTATTAAACAATTTAAATGATAAAGTTATGATATATTTAAGTTCTTTCACAAGTTTTTGGTAGAGGCCTAGTCTTAAAAGGCCTACCTGTTAATTAAAAGAATCTCAACTCTCAACAACAACTCTCTATGTGCTTTTCAGGCTATGGAAAACAATATAGCATATAACCCTTTTCAGTGACCTGTATCTTGACAAGAAAAAAAAAAGATTTAGCCACGATAATAAGGCGGATCAATTTATTAAGGTACATTACTGGTGTTATTCTGACTTTGTTAATGTGGTCGCGATTTAAAATCGCGTTTCATTGTCCTTATGTTTGAACCTACCCAGTTGCCGTAGGTCACAGTATGTTCAGCAGTTATGGCTGCTCTCCACGGAAGCCACACCAACCTGCCACAATAATGTAACACTACAAGTCCGACACGATACTTTACAGTAATTTATTATAGAATCGAATGGTGACAATGAGTACTCCCATACATTATTACAATCTGTATATCACAGCACAATGTCTTAATTTGTTTGTTGTACATCTATGGATGCAACAATCTAGGTGTTTTATTTTGAAGTTTGAAATACTTGGGTTCCGGAGTAATTGCAGCATGTCTATGGTAGCATATCAGTTGAGTTAACGCTTCCTCTCCATAAGTCCATCAGTTTTATTTTTTTACATGTTCAGACTGTTAATAACAAATTCGCGTTGATGCTGGAGAGTTACAGGTGAGTTGAACGATATACTTAAAGGACACTTAATGTGATTTATTTGAGAATTGTGCGGGCACCTAGCAATTTAAGCCGAAATTACCGTTAAAGTTAACGCTACCTGCTGTCTGACATTCCCATTCTAAAATGTGGCTGTCCCCTCGTGTCTTTCAAACTTACACCTGTGTGTTATAGCTTGCATGTTAGAACAAAACACTGAACAATTAGTGTAAGGAGCTTAAAAATCATAGTTCGTGGTCTAGATTGAAGAGGCAAAATGATAACAGTGAATGGTGTTATGTTCTTTACCCGTTTAACCTGGTTAAATTATTTAGTAAATATTTTGTGTGTATTTAAGTTTTCATCCACTCAAACAACAGATATTCATTAGTTGTTCAAGCAGAGTTATATACATTTATATAGGCTAAGTAGCAAGCTGAACTTAATGTTTAGTGTCTTTAAATCATGGTTTTTATTAAGGGAAATGAAGGATTAACTTTTAGTTTATACTGTGCTTGACAAGAAATGCGTTTTACACTCAGTAAATACTGAGCAAATGGCTTTCCATGAGAAATTTACAATTAAATAAGTATTTGTGACAATTATCATCTTTTGGTTTAAAGGTTTTAGACTGTAATGTTCCACGGATGTCACCTAAAATGTACAACCACCAAGTTATTTGCATTTACATGGTGTATGCCTACACACACTCTAAACATAAACATATTCAATACAGGTTTACACATTTTAAACATACACTATTTATTTTGTTGTTGAAATCAAAATTGAGAGGCTTAAAACTGGACTCATCCTCTTTTTAGAAGCACTGTTTTCTTGGCGTCTGACATTCCCCCCAAAACATATATCCTTTTGTAGTAAATTACAGCATATTAGGAATTGCGTGTTTGGTTGACTTAGCACTTTTATTTTCCTGTTTGTTAGCTGTCTTTTAAAATGATGCCTTTGTCTGTTTAGTCTTGGAGGTTGATGGCTGCCTGTGTGCTTTGTCGACGGTTGCCCAGGCTACGCTACCTTCCAGGCTTGAGAAAGGAGTTTACCAAAGCTCAGCACATGCGTCTCAAACAAGGGGATGAGACTGATGATCAGGAGGGGAAGAAAGGAATATTGCAGCACCAGGATGCCTCTCTCCAAGGAGAATACAGGCTGTATTACAACCCTTCCTCATATCATCACTCTGTGTGGAACTCCTCCCGGTGCCAAACAGATAATGATGAAGATGAACAGTGTCTCCCCACTCTTGCACCTTCTTTCTGGCAACAGAGCAATCGCTACAGTGTCAGTTGCTCGCGGCATCTCTCCAGCTCAAAAAACACACTTCTTGACTTAGCTTTCAACAAAGGCCCTGAACCCGAAATGCCATCAGTGTCGCAGTACCACAGAAAACCCATATTACCAGATGTAGAAGTAGATACACGTGCCTTCCACAAATGCCGGCCAGGGTATGCCTCCATGACCCTTGACCTCACCCAGAGGCCTCGCCCAATCGAATGGGAGGAGGCCTTGCCGCTGCTCCAAAAAGTGGCTGTTTTAAAGGGCAGCATGAAACCATCTGATGTGTCTCAGTTTCTTGTGGGGCTCAGCCGCTTGCACCCAGACAAGATGTCTCTAGTGAAGACTGACCAACGCTTCATAATGCTCCTCCGATATTCTGTGGAACACATTCGCCTCTTTACTCAACTTCAGCTGCTGGAGGTGCTGCAGTCGTTTGTGTGGCTGGACATGCCCTCAGCCCACACTGTGCTCGGGCTGTACGAGTCCGAGCTGTGCTGCCGGGCCAACCAGATGAGCTTACACCAGTTGCTGTTAGTTGCTGACTTGTGGCGCTGTATTGGGAGGCAGGTCCCCCAGTTCTTACAGCACCTCTATGATTCAGTCCATCTGTATCAGGGAGTGATGGGGGTCCCTGAGCTGGTGCAGCTGTTGTATATAATGGGAGAGGGTAGGCAGTGCCCAAAAGACTTGATCCATCTTGTAGAGCAGCTTCTCGTGCGTAATTTACATATACTGTACCCCGAGGAGGTTGGTGCTGTATGTTTGGGGCTCTTTAAATCCCAGACTTCAATATCTCAGCGTGCAGTGACGCATATTGTTGACAAGGCACACTCTCTTGTGGAGGACATGAGTGACTTTGCCATGGTGAATGTGCTGAAATTCCTGCGCTTCAGCTACCTGTATCACAGTGCATGGCTGGAGGCAATGGCACGGGAAGTTCCTCAAAGGGCCCACAGGATGGGTGTTAAGGGGCTGATGCATGTGGCACTTGCCTGTTCAGCGCTGCATTACCGCAATGATAACATCCTAATGGCAATTGCTGAGAGAGTTCCCTCGCTGGTGCCGCACTGCAGGAGTAAAGACTCATGCAAACTGCTGTGGGCCTTTGGCACATTAGGATTTCTCCCAGTTCAGAGCCCAAGCTACTATCCGAGCCTTATAGAAGCTCTGAGACAGAGGAAAGCTGAATTCCAGCGATACCCAGAGCATCTGCTTACTGGCCTTTTAGGTCTGGCCTTTATCTCTCAGTTCCCAGAGGACCTAATTGCATTAGCTTTGAGTCCAGAATTTGTCAACTTAGCACTGAAATACACACAGCTTGAGCTGAGAAAAGACCTGTTCACTTTAGATGGAGCAGTGGCTCTGGAGCTGCCTCAGTGGACTGGCCCGCGGCTAAGCTGTGAACTGAGGGAGGAGGTAGCAGAAATGCTGTGGAAGTTTGCTCAATCAGATGTGTGCCAGAAGCCAGAGGTTCAGGAGGCAGAATCTGCTCTGCAAGACTTGCTTGGAGGAGAGACATTTGTGTGCAAGAGAATGATTCTGCCCCACACTCGCTCCATCGACCTAGAAGTGCATCTTGACTCCACTGGACAGCCTATACCGGTGAACCCAGAATCCCACACAGCAAGATCATCTCCAGAGAGCACTTCATCCAAATTTCCGTCTCATCAGGGTTGGGGGAGAATGAATATAGGAGTAACTATAACTGAGGAACTTTTAGCACAGATAATAAATACCAAAAACACTACAGAACCTTTAACCCCATCTTCTGCAGTTAAGCCTGCATCTCTTCACAGAGTAGAGCCTGATGAAGGTGGGAGACTGTTTGACCCAGGGCTGGAACTGACCAGTGACCTTACTGAAGCTCTTACCAAACCCAGTAGTCTAGGTTCAGATCTTCAGGATTCCAAAGACACAGTCAAACTTGCTCTCCAGGTCTCCAGCAGGAACCACTACTGCTACCAGTCACAGCAATTGTTGGGCCTGCATGCCATGAAGAGGAGGCAGTTGAAGTTGGCAGGCTACAGGGTTGTGGAGATTAGCCATCAGGAGTGGTTTCCCATGCTAAGGAAAAGCAGGGCTGAGAAGCTGGCATACCTGCACTGCAAAGTCTACAGCGGGCTGTAATGATTCTCAGATGTCAAGGAGCCAAAATAAATCACAGCAAACTCAGACTGCAATACAAACAAGTTTATTAATAGTATGTCCAAACACAGAAAAAGGTCTGGTAATGAGATAGACAGATGTTTTCTTATCCCTACCCACCATTTACATTTTCCACATGTTTAATTCAAAATACGTAATTCATAATATGAAGGTTTTTTGTAAAAATGTGAGTTATTTCAAGACATTTCTTGTGAAAATAATGTAACAGTATTCAAATACTCACTGTCCCGGTCAAGGTTGCGGTGTGATATCATAACATACAGTAGATATTTTGAATGTATTTTCTTTTCTAAATTTACGTAAATTTGAATCTTCCTGCAAGAATTTGCTTATGCCTTCCAGGATCTGTAGAAAAGTAAAGAGAGAAAAGTAAAGAGAGAAAAAAATTTTGCACCATATTTAATCACATCCACTCATGCATGATGGTTTTCTCAGAGGTCAATGCGTTTTCTAATTTTCATTGTTATTAGATTGCTGCGCACTTTGCAAGGTCAGCCTGATAACTGATGAGGATGTTGAATGATACAGATTCCTATGTTGTTTTTAGCTGCTGCTGAACAGTAGAATCTGTTATGTAATTTGAAGAAAGGATTAAAATCCGTCACAATTTAATACCAAAGGGGAGCAAAAATAATTGACAGCAGAGTAAATGGTCACAATTTCATCTGCACCCAATACAAATTTAGTCTATTACCAAGCTCGGGCAGACCCAACTGCTTTATTCTTGCAGACTTGATTGGAGCTAAGTTCCCCAGTTGAGGCGAATACATTTTGTTCCACAATGTATTTTTTATGTTGATTTTTTTTCTTTCGTTTGTTCCAATAGTGTTTCTGAAACAAGGTATTGAGGAATTCTTTTCATGTTCTAACTACAAACACATGAAAAAAATTCAACAATTATGGCTCCCATTATATGTGTTTTATTTATTTTTTTATTTTTTTTATGCTGGACCTATTTCAAAGCCCTGTGAGAGCTGTAATTGGTGACTTTGTCTGTGGTAGCCTTTATTAGGCTACCACTTTTTAAAATATGTTTTTATTACTACATGTAATAAGGATAATCAAAGCGGTATTCTCGATAATTTAAGGTTGGAGTGGACAAAATATTCTTTCAGTATAAAACCCAATACTACCACCACTAAATTCAAACCCAAAATTACTTTAGTTTTGTGTTTTAACCAGGGGTTTTCAAAGTCTGAACCCCCCCCCAGCACACACATACACTTGGTTTACTTGCTTAGTCAATTCCTGAATAGCTTTTGGATCATCATTATGTTATTTGATCCTATAAACACTCAACAACTGAGCTGAGATAGCCTAATATTGCTGTTAGACATATCTTCTACACCAAATGCATAAAAACTTTATTAATTTCTGACTCTGGGAAAGTGGAAAAGACCGTAAACTACTGGGTCTTTGAACTTTCTCTTCAACCAAATCACGCATATGTATGCTATTCTATGTGATCTCCTGATAACTAATGTAATAACTAACGTAATATTTTTTCACTTCCATTCACTGAGCCTTCCTTTGAAAGAGTTTGGAGGCCCCCTGGGGAGGCCCACCTCCCACTTTGAAAACCCTGGGTGTTAACACCTCCCTGAAAGGCTAAAAAGATATTGATTGCACGTTCTTCACAAAAATAAAAACATCCCACTGTCACTTTTTGTGACAACCCTTAATGCAAAACATGATTTATATAGCACATCATGAAAAACACCACTTCTGAAACTTGTCCGAGCATAAGTAGTGACAGACTGGTCACAGCCCCGCTGACTCTGGGAAATTAATCCTTTCACCCTGGGATGTTCTCTGTTTGACTCTTCCACGCCGTTATAAGATGACCCTCATTCCAGCCCCTGCAGCAGGATTAGGGCTGTTCACAGATGTCACTGTATTTTTGTCTGAAATTGTGAGACTTTTTGACACGTTATTGTTAGGACATTGTTCACCTTGTATAAACATGAAGTAGTGTATAACAACAAAAGTGGGTGGGTTTTTATTTTAAAGTGTTGTCAAATTTGCTGTCAAAGTTGAGAATGACATGCTTTGAGTTGGACTCCCTCACATGTCAATGTTTTTATTGAGATTTCATTGTAAGTGCATAATTGGCTTTCATTTGTGTGTCTTTGTACGTATGTAATGATGTGATGTAATTTTGCTGCCTATCTTGGCCAGGTCTCCCTTGCAAAAGAGATTTTTAATCTCAATGGGTTTTTTCCTGGTTAAATAAAGGATAAATAAATAAAAAAAATTCACATCATGTTTGTTTATTGTACGTTTTTTTCCCAACAACATAACTTATGAATGCACTGCAGTTTGACAGCCCAAGGTCTGACATACCTCACATCAAAACTCACCATAAGTCAATTTTTTCAAAGGAGCCGGCCATTTCAAATGCATTACCACATACACACAAGGTTAAAGTAACTTTGACAAAAATTAAAAGTAGATAGTATTCAATGTGATGAAATGTCCAGCTTGCAAGTTTTGCAAGTTGATTTCTGATTGAAGTTGATTTTCATGGTGTATTGACATGAAAGAAAATCAGTGGTTGCCTGAAATGTACAAACTACAAGTAATATAAAAATGTTTAGTTTAGTTTTATTCTAGGCTTTCAAATGCATAACAATGAACACAAATTTGGCTGGAAAATGGTATATGGAAGTGTTTTGTTTTGCTGACATATCCAGGTTTGGGAACATCCGTAAGCAGGATATCCTTGTTACTCCCTGAAGAAAAAGCTGGGATGAGACTACAGGTGTGTTGTGCATCCCCCCCTTCCTTTGTGACCCAGAAATTGATGTTAGTGCTTCCACCATGCCATCTGTCCTAATACTGTAGGAGACTTCAAGGTCTCCTACTAGGAGACATTGTCTGAAGGAAAGGCAAAGATAGCCCATAGGGAGCCTTTTAATGGCATGCCCATTAATGCCAAGACATAACTAGCATTCTTAAAAGCTGAGTATCTGATATGATCATCTGAATTTCGCCACTTAGAGAATTACAGAGAAAATCCCGTAGCCTAAAGGCTAAAGATGGCCAATTGTACGGCCTATATACTATATGCTTCATGCACTTAATATCTCTTTGTTGACTCAGTAAGTAGAAAACATGCTGATTTTATAATTGATTATTGGACTGAACATTTACATCAGGACTATTTCAGTAATGGACATGGACTTTTGATAATATCAGTAAAGAACTCTCTTATAATTCTCTTCACTTCTGTCTCCTTCCCTCACTTCCTTTAAGTCACTTCCCGATGGGAGACGAGTGGCATAAAGGGAGGAAAGGAAATGAGCAGCAGGAAAGACAAATTCAATTAACACTAAGCGTGGGAGCTCTTGATGACCCCCAAGGAGGAGCTGGAGGAAGCTGCTGGGAAAAGGGATATTTTGGTTGCCATTGCGCCCTGATCAGGATGAATGAGAAGAGAATGAATGTTGTGCTATGCTTGCAGTTTGCCTGCAGAGGGCACTCTCTACTTAGGAAACTGCACATAATGTCTTTCTGACAATGATGAAATCATCAGTCCCATGACTCCTTGATGTTTTTGTATGTGATATTTTATATAACTGGCATTAATCTAATGCAAGGTGTGCATCACTGCCTTCAGATAAACAGCGGGAAACAGTTTAAAGCTTAGAATAACTTATTTTGTAATGCTACATTTTGTTAGTGTAGTAAAGTTTCCAATAATATAATTCATTTGCAGACAAGACAAAGGAGGCAGAAACACATTCTTGACCAGTAAGGACATTTTAATAAAGTAGAGAATAGTGAGTAAATGCCTCTCCTATTCTTCACTGATCTGAAAAAAAAATAATTCATTGTGGATTTGGGCACTTTCAAGTCAGTGCCATCCCTGCAGCTACGAATTTCACACTTCTGGGTGTGCAGGAAGCATGCTTTGAAGTTGAGATGATTCAGTTTCTCATTTAGTACCATTTTCTTTGGATTGAAAATGCAACTCATTGGATAGCCAGCTAGATCCCTTATCCACGTAGAGAGAAAACATTACCTCTCCCACTGATGTTGTGTCAGCTCTATTATGCTGTCTGGTTGATGCTAACAAGGGCAAACATGTTTAGGGAATAGGGACTGCCTGCCACAGTGCACTACTTTTATAGAGTGTGTGGAGTAATGGGAATGATTATCAGCTTAGATTGGATCATTATACTGTGGTTGTATTTGTGTTCTGAGTGATCTGCCAAGCAATGCCAAACATTCTCTCATTTGTTAATGTCTCACTGAAGACACGACATTTGTTGAGTTATTAACTTACTATAAACAACAGTAAGTAAATAGAGGGTAATCATTAGGTGTAGACACTATTTTCAAGTGTGACCAGTATTTCACCCGTTAATGGAGGAGGCTCTGGTAGAGTGAATGCTCTTTCAGTAATCCCCGTCTTATTTGCATTTCAATTCTTTTGCTTTTCTCAGCCTGGAAGCTAATCCAGCGCAGTCTGAATGTAGGCTAAACTTACATCAACGTTTCTTAAGTTATGTAAACATAGAAATACTACTGTCTGTCTGCTACAATTTAGCTTATTGTATGAAACAGACAAATCCTAATGTCACATATTTTTCAAGCATTGACGCAACACCCGTACTGCCACTGACTTCACAGAAAAAAATCGACTTTCAGTGAGTGGGATCCTTTTGATTTTCTCAAGTTAGGGAAACAGGTGCAGATTAACCAAGATACAAATGATTTACCCTGTTTTGCACGATGATGGCACGAATACTGGCAGTTTACTTGAATGTTTCTGTGTCACTCCCTCTGAGTGCAACTTCCTTTCTGACCCCTCTGGTGGCATTCAGTAATGTGTCTGGATCCTTGCCTTTAAGATTCCAAACACACACACTCTGCTAAACCAACTGCTGCAGGGATGCGACTGAAAGGGAGTGTTTGCATTCAGCACTTGTCTTTGCTGCTATTGATAGATCTTTATTAACTTAACCAAGTTCGAGATTTGCTGCTTGGTTCCTCATTTATTAGGGGATAAGCCTTTTCACCCAAGACCACAGCAGGTTTGGCTGGATTTGGATTAATAGTATTGCATTTTTGTCCTTGTTAAATGCTTTGGAAAAATGTCATGCAGTATTACTCAAGCTATAGTCTCCCATGGATAGAGAAATATATGATCTGACTACTATAACCAGGGGCACTGATATTCTGTTGAAGCATTTGACATGGCATAACAGTGGGACGCTAAAGATTTCCATTTGTGTACAAATCTTGCTTCTCATGATGGATTTAGTTAATTCATGCTATTCATAGAAACACACAGCAATTGGCCTCATGGAAAGATCCATCATGACCAGAAGGCACATTAAAGATAGAAGGTTGAACAC